GTATGAGAAGGTAAACCTTCCCGCAAACCTATCAAAGATCCATTAAACTATAGTAAGTGACATATAAATCCGAACACCCAGTTTAAATGGTTTTATTTTAATAAATTTTTGTATAAGTACTTAATGAAGCATAATACCTAAGTAAATGATAAAAATTTCAAAATGATTGCACTGCTTTAAAGCCCTTTGACCTTTAATAATGTGTGGATGCACCCTGATGTGCTACGCATTCTCCAACGCGCCTAGGCATGCTTCTGATCAGGTGGTCAATGTCCTCCTGTGGTATCTCATTCCAGGCAACCACCAACTCCTCTCGAAGTGCTTCTAGAGTCTGAGGAGGACGTTGCAAATTGAGGGTAAAAGATGGGGTTCTAGAACTTCGTGGATATAACGCTGCGCGTTCATGTTACCTCTGATGAAGATTAAAGGTGACCTGGAACCATAAGCTATAGCACCCCAAACCATAACTCCAACAGTGTGATGAACATGTCTTTCAACAAAAAACTGTGGATTCCTTCTTTCACCACGTCGCCTTATAACCTTGGCACGACCATCGTGCACGCCTAAACAAAATCGAGACTCGTCACTGAAGACAATACTGTTCCATTCCTGATCCCAGAGTGACCGTTGTCTGCACCACTCAAGGCGATTACGTCGGTGTTCTCGAGTTAAAGGGAGGACCCAGTGTGGCCGGTATGAAAACAAGCCAAAACTTCTCATTCGTCGGTAAACACTTCGCATGCCAATAGGTCTTCCGTGTTCTGCAAACCATTCATTTGCAATGGACCTGGTAGTGGAGAAACGGTCCCTTAAGGCCAATAATCTTAGGCGGCGATCTTCACGGTCTGTTGTTCTACGGCGGCGTCCAGTGCCCCTTGCTCTTTGCGTACTGCCTTCTCGAAGCCATGCCTGACAACTCCTAACCACAGTGTCTACACTTCTTTGCACTCTAACTGCAATTGCCCGAAAAGAAAGTCCAGCTTCCCGAAGTCCCAGTATACGGCCGCTATCAAACTCACTAAGTTGACGAAACATAGGTCTCCGTACTCTAGGCATCGTAACCGATCGTAAAGGATGTCAAGAACCAAAATCCGCCAACGTTGATTCTTTACTGCGGCTGAAATATTCATTTTTAGAGTGTTAGTGAATTAAAAAAAGCAGTATAAAAACCGGAATGTCCAACTGATAAGGCTGAAAATTTTTTCACTTGTTACTTACAGTCAGATAAATACATTCACCAACTTTTATTAAAATAAAACCATTTAAATTGGGTGTTCGGATTTATATGTCACTTAGTATAAAATGACCATTCAAATGTCCCGTTTATCACCATTATTACACAGCCGGTCATCTTAGGGGGTATAAATGGCAACACTGGCTTAACGATGCCTGACTAGTACTCGTAGTAGTAGTGACAGTAGTTAAAATTTATTCATGTTAACCCCAAAAATGAATGACAAACAATACGTATAAAAAACTAGCACTACAGAACATACACTCTAAAGGAATCAGTTATAAAGCAAACAGAATTCAAATTAATAAATAAAGATAAAATTACAGATAAAAAAAAATAAGTAATGGGTAGACAAAAATCAATACACTGAAGAACGAAATGAATTATCACTTGCCGCTTGTCACTAAAATCATTTTCTAAAAACTCAAAACCGTAAGACGCTCCAGTTAGTAGATACGTTTTAACAGTCTTTTTAAAAGTCCTGTCGTCAAGATTCCTACAAAACTAAGGAAGGACATTAAAAAATTGCCTCATAGTAATTACAACCCCAACTAGTCCTAGACAGTCTAGTGCATCCTTTATGGTTTTGAAATAATTATAATTTTGTTCAACATACAATAAACAATCCAGTGTACATAAACTTGGGACAGTTTATATTATAAAATTAATAAACGTCTGCTTACAATAGAATCTTTGAAATGGATATTACAGATAACTCCCAAACATCGCCTTTGAATCTTAAACACTTTTGATGATGAATGGCCCCATACTAATATACAATAATGAATCTTGGATCCAAAATATGCATACATACGCTGTTATTAACACTGTTTTAGATACGATCCGGATTATTGAGTGTTGAATGTTTTTTGTCAATGTATGGACGTGAGTTCCTCAAGGCAATTTTGAAGCTAAGCGAATGCCAAGGAACTCACACATGCAACTGAGACTTTGGGGGATAACCTGATAGCCACTAACCAATGTTGCATATAAGTAACATGTTGCTGAGAATCTATTGTCAATTGTTGGAGGTTTTTTTTTTGGAAGAGATGGTTGTGGTTTCTTCAGCAAAAATTACGCATTTATTGTCGATGCAGTTAGGTAGGTGATTAACCCCTTCACATCCAGTACTCCACATATGGATATTTTGAATATGCTCTCTGGATACCATAATATCCACATATGGATATCATTGTTAATGGCTTATGTTATGAAGCAGGGAATTGGTATGGCGAGCTGCTATCAATTAGACCGACTGGTATGGCATACAAGCCATCCCCACCCAAATTTCTTCAATATCCAAAATATTTCCACAGAAATATTTTTACTGTTAGTACATAAGTAGTCACGCTGGTACGCGGTCGTGTATGCCTCTAAATTACGTTTTGGCGGGAAAGTCTGTTTTATCGTGTTTCTCAGTGTTGTTTAGATGTAAAAGTTTTATTTATCAAAAATGAATGTCCAGGACTATTATACAGATAGTGATGACGATTCGGAGTATGAGTTAAGTGATAATTCGGATATGAGTGACTCTGACGAAACATATTCGGAGACTGATGACGATGAACTTGTCGAAAACGTGACCATGGACGAATGGCAAGTTTTAAGTGATCCTTTTTCCGATCAGGTTCCTAGAGCTACGCAAAATTTTTCTTCTAAATATACTTTTCACCCCGCCATTGATATGGAAGAGTGCAGAGATCCAGTCAATTGTTTCGAATGTTTTTTAAGCCCAAATATCGTAGCGAAATTAAGTGAGTGGACGAACAGAAGAGCTGAAATGTAGATTTGAACAAAATACAAATACAAGGACAGTTTATGGCGTTCAGTGGAAGAAACTAGAAAAAGAAGAGATGTACGTTTTCATCGCGCTTCATATTCTTAATGGATTAGTAAAGTGCCCTCGCATAACAGATTACTGGAGTAATAACATTTTGTGCGCTGGTCGAAAAGTTTTCAATAAGTCTATTATGAGTCGAAACAGGTATCTTTCTATATTCAAGTTTATTCGGTTTTCGCCACCCGAAGCAGCAAGAAACAATGCCCCTCTAAGCCGACTTGGAATTTATATGTCCATGCTCAAAGACAACTGCAAGACGTTGGTTGACCCTGGACCAGTGTTTGCAATAGATGAACATTTGATGCTTTATAAAGGCAGATTGCACTTTCGTCAATATATTAAAACAAAAAGAAATCGATTTGGCATAAAACTTTTTGCAATGTGCCCAAGCGCTCCACTTTTGCGCGGATATACTTGGAACTTTTGTTTGTACGTAGAGAAAGACAATTTCGATGTATCCCATATTCCAGGCACCGGAAACCTCACTGTTTCTGAAAGAATTGTCATGCATTTAGCTCAAAATATACTGAACAGTGGCCGAGAAGTTATTCTAGACAATTGGTATACATCCGTGCGGCTTTCGCAATTTTTACTTACCCAAAGAACCTATTTGACTGGAACTATAAGAAGCAATCGTGGAGTTCCCGCTCAGTTAACTAGAATTCCACTAGAAAGGTACCAATCCTGCTTCGTACGGAAAGACATGCAACTGCTTGTACGATATAAGGACAAGAAGGATGTTTACTTGTTGACAAGTAAGCATAGTGCAGGGTTTTTTGAAAAATCTCGCTATATGGTAGGCGGTAAACAAGTGCATTTTAAAAAACCTGCCCACATTGAATTTTATAATCAAAATATGGGCTCTGTTGACGCTGTCGATCAAGATCTGGAACCTTACAATTCTTTACGAAAAAGCTATACTTGGTTTACAAAAGTGGGCTTTCAATTAATGCTTCAGATGCTTCTAAATTCTAAGGTTTTATTCTGTAACGCTAAAGATGATTTCAACATTTCGATGTATGACTATATAAAACTGTGCTGTAATGGTATTTTGCACAAATACAGTGAAGGATATCGCTGCATGACGGATGCTTCTTCATGTTATAATCAACCTTCAACTTCAAAAAAAACACAAAAAGAACACGTTATGGTTAATTTACCAAAGGAAGATGGAAAAAAACGGGCATTGCGAAAGATCTGCGTTATTTGCCGAAAACACAACCAAAGGAAACTAACACGAAATATTTGCATTGAGTGTCCAAATAAGCCAGGGCTTTGTTGTCCGGAACATTTTCAAGAATACCACAAATGAACTTTATATTTTAAGCGGTTTACCAATGTTACGTTCTACTAGTTTATTTTATGTAAAAAATATGAATAAAGCACTTATGTTCAAAAAATGTGACTTTGATTTATTTTTACATGGATATCCAAATATGGATATTATGGTATGCCACTATTATCCAAATGGTGGATATACTGGTATAGTCATAAAATATGAATCACTGTCGCCATGTTGTTTTTGACTTTCATGAAATATTTTAACTGTGGTTAAAGATGTATGTCATTATGTAATCTTAATATTTCATTTTCGATTTTTTTTTCGTCTGGTATGTGAAAGTGCCTTTTTAAATTGCACCTGGATGTGAAGGGGTTAATGTATATTGAAAAGAGAATTGGCCCTAAAACTGTACCTTGTGGTACTCCATGCTTGACAACTTCTGTCTTGGATGTATAGTTCTGGTAGCCAACATATTGTGGCCCATTTGTCATTCATTAAAGCATGAATAATGAAGACTTTTCATCTGAGACTTGTCAAATCATACTAATCGGGCAGAATCCAGGTTGGTAAATACCATGGATAGAACACCAGCGTTTGGCAATGTCATAAAAAACTGCATACCCTACAATACTTCGATGAATTACTGTTGACTCCATATCTTCCTCTTGCAAACACCTTCTTACGTGTTCAACTGGATCCGTTTCTTTTTCAGTCCACGCAGAAACCAAAAAACACATAATCTCAAAACAATTTGACATATAAACTTGAATATTTTGTTGAAATAACCTACTAAAACTGTTTGCTGTTTTACTTGCAACAGCATTCATCAAATAAACATACTGAAAATGAAAAGCTTTTATAAATGTTACTGTTGTGTTATATTTACCTTCAATCAGTTCATTAAAATTAACCAGTGTTTTTTTTTTTTTCAGGTAAGTGATCTGATATAATGGAAACGTACCTGGTAAGTTCCACAGAAGATAACATAACAAAAAGTCGATCCATTTTTTTTTCTGTAGACTTAAACAATTGCATACAACTTTTATATATCACATTTTTGTAAATTATATTTGATTTTTTTATAGAAAAAGAGCACATTTTTACCATTTGGCAGCGCACTAAGCATAGATGCAAAGTGATACTTATGGTACATTTTAGAGGGCCTTGATAAACACCTATTGCAATAGTCTGCGACCTGAAAAGATAAAGGCACTATCATTTTTTTAATCAATAATTTAGGGTCGAAAGGTAATAAATCGATCCAAGTCCTTTCTACACATAGCTTATGCTATTACAAACAACATTAATAGATCTTAATTTTGGAAAAAAACGCCTACATTCTTAGAGTTAAAAATGCACTCATGGATATAAATACGTATTATCCCAGTTCAATAGTAGTTCAGTATAAGGCGTTGTAAGTTCTTAAGTTAGTTTTTTTAAAGAAAACTTTTTTAAAATTCCTTTATCTTTTTAGGTCGCACACTTTTGAAATATGTCTTTAAGAAAGAAATGTCGACAGTAGTACAATGTATCATGAGTATCGCTTGTGGCGTATTGTAATAGTAGCTGTCTATACAAAAAAATTAGATCGATTCTTCGGCTTTCCATCCTAAGTTAACGATTAATTGTTAATAAGTGGGAAAAAAGTAGATACTGTTTGCAGTCCAGCATAAAGGTGATGCTGCTGCGACGTTTTTAAATGTAGTAATCTTTATAGCTAATGGCAGCCTGAAAAAGAGAGGCAAAATAAACGGAACGTTTACTATACAGGATCGTACACGTTGCATGCTAGTATAAAACGGGTCAGTCCACTGCTTGTCAACACACTGAACGTCATGCTGAAAAGAGCTACGAAGTTATCCCACTACATCCTATAAGCGGATCCAATCAGGTAGCCAAGGCAGCGACGTCAAATCCAGCCTCAAAAACTCACAATCGTAATAATCGTGCTTTGTAAAAATGTTTTATCCTTGGATCGTCCTCCTCGTATTTCACTCTTTTTCTAAGAGGTACAATTTTTAGTGCAATCTAATTTTGTTTTTTATTGTTTATGTATAAGCCAAATGCATCATATTTAACACACTCTATATAAAATGAAGGATTTAAATTAAATTGAAATATCCTGATTTAGTCATAGTGTGACGTGGTTATAGCGTGGAAATGTTGCTCCCGACCTTGGATTTCGATTAATATTGCACTGGTAGTGAGAAATAAAAGATGCTGTGTAAACATTGCAATTGCAAGTACAGGATGATGACGGAGAGCACAAAACCCAATGTCAACAGAATCTGAGCGTTCTGAATCGCCACCATCTTCCGAAAACAAATACCCGCCGGAGCTGACGGTAACGTAGCATTACCCAACTCGTACCAGATTTATGGTACAGGGAAACAGGATATACTAACATTATTTCTGGTTTATACCAGATAACGATCTAAATATCTTCGAGCATTGCACTTGTCCGTTCCCAATTCAGAGATGACAGGAAGCGTATTAGTTTTTTTTTGCCTAAGGCCCAAACTTGCGTCAACAATTTATTAAACAATTCTTTGAAACAAATTTGAAACATTGTTTTTTCGTTCTAGACAAATCGTGTTTAGGTTTTTTGGGACATTATCATCAAGTACGAAATGGGGTATTTTCGACCCCGAAAAACATGATGAGTATCGACAATTTTGATGTTTCCAATGTTCCTAAATATTCTTCAAACATCCTTTAACGAAATCTCAAAGCATTTCAGGACGTATTGTTATTGCAAACCTTTGTTTTCTAATTGCGCTTGGCTAACAATTCAAAACCAAGGTTTACAGTAACAGTACCTGCTCAGATGACTGGGGATTTTGTTAATGATCGAAGCATATTCAGGAACATTGGCGATGTAGAACTTTTCGTTGTTCAGGATATCCTTAAAAGGCTAAGAAGATTTTTACCGGGGCAAAAACACTATTTTTAGAACTTGTTTAAAAAAATTGTTAAAAAACCTTTAACGCAAATAGCGGCCTGGCTACATGCAGATTCGTTAAAAAGGGCCCTTTGTGCAAAAAATCGGAATAAGATTATTGTAAGCTATTGCCCGGTTTTCTGGTTTACCGTCGTAGGGGCCGAGCAACATTTCGATAAACATTAAAATGCTGAGATCGATGGCTGATGTGCGAATTGGTTTATGTCACTGCCAGTAATATTAATATGTAATTTTCAAGTTGCTATAAGTTTGAAGAATCCTGATCATTTTTGAAAAAAAAGTTTAGGGGTAAGAAATTGAAGGCTAGGGGTTATAGGAGGTGGGGTAAGGTATACCGCTATTGTTTCTGTCAGTATATATGTGAATCTTTCTTGTTTTCAAAAATATCATATTGCTTCGTGGTTTGCTATCCCTATTTAGATAGTATAACAAGGAATCGTATTCAAAGCATTACTCCTCAGAAGTGTTATGAATACATGTTGCAGACTTGTAAATGATCTCAGAAAACATGATCATATATTGAAGGTCATTAATGACAAGTGGATCAAAATTGATAAAATGTATAAATACCAGCTCCTAAGTCTGCCTCATAGGATTCTTTATTAAAAAACACCGTCATATTTACTAACCAAATGCATACGTAGAGGGAATATACATGGCATTAATATTAAATATAGATATACTTTAATTCCACGCCTCAGAATACATATATTTACAATGCGATCAAATTATTTGATTCTTTAGGCCGTAGTTTGAAAGAAACCAATTCATTACCCAAATTCAAGAAGAAACAAAAAAAAATTCTCCTCGATCAGCAGTAACCCTTCAGTGTTAACTGGCCTTATATTTTCTTCATGCCTTTACATTGATTATATTTTGTCATTATTGTATACAGGTATTAATTTTCAACAAATTTTCATCTCTTATTGTTAAGGGTGGAATAGATATACGTATAGTATCTAAATCTCACCTCCTGTAATACTATTACAAATAAAAAAGGCGTTAATTATTATCATTATCCCAAATTTTTCACGAAGACGATGAACCCATGTTCGGTGTAGAAGTCAAGTCCAGATCTCTGCCTAAGATTAAAGCGATTTAACACGTTGCGGAGAATGTGCGCGGTGCTGAGAAGGACTGTTCTCTGGATTAATTTCATTGATGGACTCCCTGCCACAAGCCACACAGCGGGTGACATATTGAAATCGAAATTCGGTGAACGTGTTAATATCGAGAAATGGCGCTGTCGAATGGCCACCTATATGGTGTGATTTAACACCTCTAGAGTTTTTTTTTGGGCTACATTAAATCTATGCCAACAAGCTGGCGTCGTTAGAGGATCTCAGAGCCAATATTGAAGAAGAGATAGCGGTCGTTTCTGTCGAAATGTGTGGCCGAGTCACTGAAAATCGGGTTCAAGGATTCTATCGCTACGAACGTAACCGTGGTGGAAATATAAACGAGGTCGAATTCGAATAATCCAATAATAAACTTTTCGAGATATCTCATATGATTTGCGTTTCATTTAAAAAGAAAGTCTTTAATGGAAAACCCTTTATCTTTACCGTTTAGATACGCGACTATAATGGTCTAGAAACACAGCTCGAATGTGACCGTGCTGTAATGTACACAGATACACATCCGTATATGTATTTTTCTGTTCGGTGCTGAGCGCCGAGCTCTCGCTGACAAGTGTTTGCTCTCTCTCTGTGCAAACGCGCTGCACTGTTTGTTTTTCCGCTACGCCGGAAGTTCGATTCCGGCTGGGCTGTTCAGCCGCGGCATAGAATATATGCTTTCTGCTGTATCTATGTGCCAGGTATTCGCTAGATAAAATTCGTTATACGCCGCTGATTCGAGAACCGAAGACGTCTTAGTCATTGTACCCTACTAGCGTTATAGGACCAAACCTCTCTCGTATGGGTGGATCGCCAAACGTGGTACTGCTAACGTTTTCGGAGCAGGGTCCGGTACACACAGATGTCCAAGGGTTTTCGAACCCGGGTAAAAAATACGGGCACCTGGGTATCAATGAAACTTAGCAAATCCTATTTTTCAGCATAATAATCAATTGTTGCCTTAGATAAAAGTACGTAATTATATTTTTGGTTGATAGTTACTCAAAAAACCTAGAATAACTTGTCCGCAGCAAAAAAACATTTTTTGCAATTTGCTATTTAGTGCATGGCAACATGCAGATTCTTTAAAATACGAGCCCCTTCCCACTTCAGTTGGCCCACTTCTACTAACTAAACATAACGAAACTATTTACTTCTAAAACAATTTATTTTCTCGAAAACATTTTAGATACACTCTAGTCGTAAAAAATACATATATTGAAATCACTTAGACCTATAACTAATAGAACATCTGAACAAATAAACAATGTGAGAATAAATGCGCGAAGTTAACAAAGCAACAATTGAAAGATTACCATTGGGTAACATCACATTTATTTTTTATTACGGCTGGAATTCTTTGGGGCATAGTGTTAACCATGTTTTGGCAAAAAGTTGGTGTAAAACAATCCCATATTTCTTGAAGCTTTTGTCTCAGTTCGGTGATTGTACGAGCGGGATGTTGTCGTAGAACCTTTTTCATCTCGTGCAACAAAGTTTCAATAGGTAGCCCATCTAAGCGGATTTTTCTTTTGCAGTGGAGCTAATAGTGGCTTTTCTTTGATTTCCCAGAATTAAAAAATTTAATTATCGGTAACCGAATTTTCTCACAATAACCTTTCCTCTACTCATTTTGAAAACCTTAACTACCCAAAACTATTTTATACGTATTCTGACAGCTGTGATTAATAAAAGCAATTGTCATGGCTTTTATTTTTCACAGTCACCTATGCGTTATAGACTTATTTTGCATTGAAAT